CAGCTGTTAACAGTGGAAGAAGAAATGGGTCGCCGGAAATAGGGGAAGAAGGAAACATTTTTACTATATCTACATCTTCTTATTACTTTTAGATTTTGCAGTGTGTGCATGCATTTTCTATTCACAAAATGAAATTTTTTTAAAAAGGGGCAGTACTTAGCACAGTGCCTAACAGTGGTGGCGGTGGTGGTAATAGCCTTTTTGCAGTTTTGGGCAGGCAATTCACTGCAGAAATGCAGCCCGGAGATATCTAGAGGTTGGCCATAGCCTCCAGACTGTCCTCCCAGCCTCTTGGTCTCCCTTCTTCATTCTGTATGGTCCATGTTTCCCCATCGGAGAATCTTTGCATTTTAGAAATGTAAAGGGGCTTTAGATTTTCTACTGCAACTGTTTGATTTTAACGATGAAGAAACTAAGTCCCCAAAAGTTGCCATAACCAGGCCAAGGTTATCCAGAGGGTTCAGTCTAGGGCCTTTTTCACACCATCCTGTTTTCTAAAATTCTGCTTTCATCCCATCGCTGCTCTGCGTGTGACTCCTCAACCTGGCTATTAAGACTAGCTGTGGTCTAGGCCAGGCACAGTGGCTCACGCCTGTAATCCTAACACTTTGTGAGGCCGAGGTGGGCAGATCACTTGAGGTCAGGCATTTGAGACCAGCCTGGCCAACATGGTAAAACCCATCTCTACTAAAAATACAAAAATTAGCCCCATGTGGTGGTGCACATCTATAATCCCAGTTACTTGGAAGGCTGAGGCATGAAAATCACTTGAACTCGGGAGGCAAAGGTTGCAGTGAGCCCATATGGTGCCACTACCCTCTAGCCTGGGTGAAGAGTGAGACTCTGCCTCAAAAAAACAAAACAAAACAAAACAAAAGACTAGCTGTGGTTTAACTCTCAACCAAATTTTCCAGCCTTATTTGCTACCCTTTTCAATGTGAATCCTCTACCTTAGCTAGAGCTCTTTATTGACCCCAAATACTCCTGCTTTCCAGAGGCTATACCTTGTCAGTGCTATGCTGTCTGCTTGAAATGCCTTTCTCTTTCCTGTCCATTTATTGTGGAGATTCTACCCAAACATGGAAGCTAAGCGTAAATCATACTTCCTCCAGGAAGTCTTCCTTAATTACTTCAGTTCACAGGCCTCTCTCACTCTGAACTAATTTAAAAAGTTCTTGTGGCTGGGTGCAGTGGCTCCACTCGTAATCCCAGCACTTTTGGAGGCCAAGGCCGGCAGATCACTTGAGGTCAGGAGTTTGACATCAGGTTGGCCAACATGGCAAAAACCCATCTCTACTAAAAAAAAATACAAAAATTAGCTGAGTGTGGTGATGTGCGTCTATAGTCCCAGCTACTTGGGAGGCTGAGGCAGGAGAATTGTTTGAACTCGGGAGGCAGAGATTGCAGTAAACTGAGATCATGCCACTGCACTCCAGGCTGGGCGACAGAGCCAGACTCCATCTCAAAAAAAAAAAAAAAAAAAAAAAAAAAGTTATTGTAAAAAACTCCTGCCCCTTAAGAGGGATATAGGATGTTTGTCTGCTCCTTGAGCAATGGGAAATGAACTTGGATAAAGCCCATTCTTTATTATTTTTTTCTGCAGCTATGAAATTGGGCCAATGACCTTAGCCCTCCTTATTGTCTCAGGAAAGCCCTGGGTGAGGATGCCGCTGAGCCTGCCTGGAGCCAGGAGCTGGTCTGCAGAAACTGCTGGGCCTGTTTCTACTCTGATGTTTACTTGGCCTGGAGGCCCAGTGTGATGAAACCCGGCCCTGTTGCCGAGCACCTTGGGAGGCCTCCCTCCAGGGTCCCTCTGTGCTCAGACAGTGGCCCTTTGTGGAGTGGAAGAGCAGACTGAAAGCAGAGCTGCTGGAAACCCTTTCCTCCCCCCTGCCTCCAGCAACCTCCGGCAGCCACAGACCATCCTGTGCCTGGGTGGCCTCTGCTTTAAGTCTGCGGCTGGTGGGGTACGATAGGGTCTCTAGGCAGCTAGCTACGCTGGAAGGGTGAGGAGGGGTCCTGGCAGGATGGCCAGCTGAAACACAGCATCCCCTAACTCAATACAGACTGCTTATAATGGGGCTTTCCAAAGAGGAGACTGGCCCTTACAGGCAAGACTGACATTTTACCATCCCGTGCCACCACCCATTATGCCCCTAAGATTTAGGCCAGAACTAATGTGGTTTGTCCCTACTTCACTAGCCCCTATACTCACTAGGAGGAGATTGGGAATCCTTAGACATAATCCCAAACCTGGTGGAGTAGGAGTTCAGTAAAGGGAGAGGAATAGTGACAAGAGGAAAGAGGTTTAAGAGTGTGGTATAGGCCGGGCGCGGTGGCTTATGCCTGTAATCCCAGCACTTTGGGAGGCCAAGGTGGGTGGATCACTTGAGGTTGGGAGTTGGAGATCAGCCTGACCAACATGGAGAAACCCCATCTCTACTAAAAATACAAAATTAGCCTGGTGTGGTGGCGAATGCCTGTAATCCCAGCTACTTGGGAGGCTAAGGCAGGAGAATCGCTTGAACCTGGGAGGCAGAGGTTGCAGTGAGCCGAGATGGCACCATTTCATTCCATTCCTCCAGCCTGGGCAGCAAGAGTGAGACTCTGTCTCAAAAAAAAGATTGTGGTATAGGTGGAAGGACACCTACTGGTCTGGGGGGCGGGAAGCCTGGGATTCCAGTTTCTGCTGAGCTCCAGCCTTACTGGGTGACATCAGCTAGTTGCTTCCCTTTTCTATGCCTCAGTTCCCAGTGGCAAAATCTTGGAGGTGGAGTAAAAAAATGTTAAGGATTTTTGCAGTTCTAATTTTTCCTAATTCTTTGATCAGAAGGAGGAAAGGAAAGCTGGGGGTGGGTTGGAGGTAAATAACCGGCAGGATGCCTTCCATAGATTCACGCGCAGTCCTCAGGCAGCTTCTCTGCCACTAAGATCTCTTCCCCTTCCGTTTTTCCCCCTCTTTTTTCTACCCACTCTGAGGGCTTCTTGTGATGAGATCTAAAAGCTGTTTTACTTACAATTGTCTTATCTTACCTATCTTTTGCCCTCAAAGGGAGGAGATTGTGCACAATCATGGAGGGCACTGGCAAGTCTTGTGGAGAGGGAAGGAGGTCAGGAAATAAACGAGAGGCAAATTAGGGGGAAGTATTGAAAGAAACCTCTGGGAGGGAGAAAAGGAAGGAAAAGGGGAGGAGAGGAGGTAAAAGTGAAGGAAAGAGGTTGAGTGCAGTGGTTATTCCTGTAATCTCAGCACTTTGGGAGGATCACTTGAGGCCAGGAGTTCAAGACCAGCCTGGGCAACATGGCAAAACCCCATCTCTACAAAAAATACAAAAATTAGTGGGACATGGTGGTGCACTCCTATAGTCCCAGCTACTCGGGAGGCTGAGGTGGGAGGATCAAATTAAAAAGAAGAAAGAAAAAGAAAGGGTGGAATGAAATAGTAAAAATGGGAGAGAAAAACAGGAAGAGAAATCGTGGGAGAAGACCAGAGCCTGGGCAAACAAACACGCAAGTGAAGACATAGTGTTTTCTAGGACAACAAACAGTTGAGTTTGGCTAGAGCTAAGAGTGTGGTAGGTAGACAAAATTAGAATCAGATTGTGGAAGTTCTTGAATGCCAGGTTAATGACTTTGAACTTTATATTTCTTATTTTCTTCTGCTCAAATCCCCTGTGATAAGTTATTTTATTTTTTTTGGAGTGGGTACCAGGCAAATTTCTGGGTGAGATCTAGAGGAGCATTTTTTTTTGAGATGGAGTTTCACTCACGTTACCCAGGCTGGAGTGCAATGGTGTGATCTCGGCTCACCACAACCTCCGCCTCCTGGGTTCAGGCAATTCTCCTGCCTCAGCCTCCTGAGTAGCTGGGATTACAGGCACGCACCACCATGCCCAGCTAATTTTTTGTATTTTTAGTAGAGACGGGGTTTCACCATGTTGACCAGGATGGTCTCGATCTCTTGACCTCGTGATCCACCCGCCTCGGCCTCCCAAAGTGCTGGGATTACAGGCTTGAGCCACCGCGCCCGGCCCAGAGGAGCATTTTTATTCATCCAGCCATTCAACAAGGCACTATGTCTTCTCCAACTTGTATCCCTAGAATATAGCACAACATCTGCACATAAGACAGAAAGTAAGTGCTTGTTAAATTGAGCATTTAGTCCGTGTACAGTGGTTTATGCCTGTAATCCCAGCACTTTGGGAGGCCAAGGCGGGTGGATCAGCAGAGGTCAGGAGTTCAAGACCAGCCTGACCAATACGGCGAAACCCTGTCTCTACTAAAATTACAAAAATGAGCCAGGTCTGGTGACACACATCTGTAATCCCTGCTACTAGGGAGGCTGAGGCAGGAGAATCTCTAGAACCCAGGAGGCAGAGATTGCAGTGAGCTGAGATCATGCCATTGCACTCCAGTCTCAGCAACAGAGTGAGACTCCCATCTCAAAAAAAAAATTATTTTTTAGCATTTGGAGAAAACAATAGTTGAGACATTCTCACAGAGAATATAAGAATAATCATATTAAGGCCAGGCACAGTGGCTCATGCCTGTAATCCCAGCACTTTGGGAGGACAAGGTGGGCGGATCATTAGGCCAAGAGATTGAGACCACCCTGGCCAACATGGTGAAATCCCATCTCTGCTGAAAATACAAAAATTAGATGGTCGTGGTGGCGCACAGCTGTAGTCCCAGCTACTCGGGAGGCTGGGGCAGGAAAATTGCTTGAACGTGAGAAGCGGAGATTGCAGCTCACTGCAATGGCACATATCTGTAAAAAAAAAAAAAAGAAAAGAAAAGAAAAAGAGAGAGGTGTACCATGGCCTCAAATACTTTGTTGTGGAGTTTGTATGGAATGGACCAGAGGCCAGAAGACCAGGACTGATGGGAAATTGTTCTGGCATGTCCTCTGGCAAAACCTAAGCTCAAGATCCTTCACCCACATCCATGTGTTTTCCACTGAAACTTTGTTGTTTTTTTTGTTGTTGTTCTTCCCATTCTAGGTCAGAGGACTCAAAAAGATGAAAGGTCACACCTCTGTCAAGAGACACTCTCCTTTTCTGGTCAAGTCTCTTTTCTTCTGTTAGGGCTGCAACCTCTTCACCTGGGAAATGAATGGTCCTGTGATTTACAAGCACAGGTAAGCACCTGCAAAGAGCTTTGAAGACTGATGGGCAGAGTTTCCAGCTCAATTTCTGGGGAGTGGCAGTATCAGCAGCACCCTCTCCCTGGCTCTGATATAATGATGGGAGAAGCAGCTCCAAGGCATCCTGCTTTTGAGCAGGAGGTGGCCCAGGCCATAGCCTAGAGTCAACTCTCTCCTCATCGCAAATATCTCCACAAAGGAAGACTCTGTAGCATAGCGTAAGAGGGAGCATAAGACTTTGAATCAGGAATCCCTGGTCTTGGTCCTCAGTTGTGCTTCTTCCTAGCTCTGGTATTTTGAATAAGTTATGTAAATTACCTGAGCCTATTTCCTTGTATATAAAATGGGGGTTGTAATACTAATTTCCTGGACTCATGAGAGTAGATTAAGCTAAAGCTAAAAAAAGCACTTGGCACAGTGCCACACAAGCCACAGGCGCTCGACAATGTGAATTTACATTCATTTTTTAAGGAATGGAGTCCTTAATGGACTAGTGTGATATATTAAATTAAAAAAAAAAAAAAAAGGCCGGGCGTAGTGGCTTACGTCTGTAATCCAAGCACTTTGGAGGCCAATGCGGGTGGATCACCTGAGGTTGGGAGTTCAAGACCAGTCTGATCAACATGGTGAAACCCTGTCTTAAAAAAAAAATAAAGAAATAGAGTCCTGTACTGTTAGAGGTAGGGAGGTGTTAGATATTCCTAGTCCAATCCTCTCATCTACAGTGGTGAAAGGACTCCCAGGAAGGTTTTCTCTTAACTAATCTAATTCTCTTCTGTCACAATATCTGCTGATTCTATTCTCAACTAGAAGCAGAGAACTGAGCTCTTCCTTCTATGCTTAGCTACATAAATCCTATGTGAGTTCTGTACCTGTTCAGAAAAGGGTATTTTGGTTCCTCCATTTTTCCCCCCAAGAACATTTGCCTGTCATTTGCTCTTTGCTCTGCTAAAGGTGAAGACAATTAGTGTACTATACTCAAAGTGATCATGAATATGCGGGAAGATCATGAGCAACACAGTATAGGTGAATCCTAAATAAATCCAGCAGTCCTGGAATATCTGAAGGAATTTGCTCCCAATTATTCTTAGATAAGCTACGAAATGAATACAACTGTTAGTTACTGTGTTTGTGTTTTTGTTTTTACTCTGCTTAATTTTTTAACTTTTTAAAAATTTCTATAATTATAGAGGTGGGGTGGTGTCTCACTATGCTGCCCAGGCAGGTCTCCTACTCCTGGGCTTAAATGATACTCTTGTCTTGACCTCCCAAAGTGCTGGTATTACAGGTGTGAGCCACTGTGCCCAGCTTCTGCTTATTTTTTATTACCCAGTTGGCAGGAGCTCCTACTTCTTTAGCTTTAGTTTTTTTATTGGATAAAATATACATAACATAAAATTTGTTATTTTAATATATATGTTTTGAGATGGAGTCTCACTTAGTCGCCAGGCTGGGGTGCAGTGGTGTGATCTTGGCTCACTGCAACCTCTACCTCCTGGATATAAGGGATTCTCCTGCCTCAGCCTCCCAAATAGCTGGGACTACAGGCACATGCCACTATGCCCAGCTAATTTTTGTATTAAAAAAAATTTTTTTTATAAGCACCAAGGTAAAGCAAAGCTCTAGTTGATGTGGGTGTGTTGTTTAGGCGTAAGCAGCACTGCTCTCACTATGCGCTCATTGGACAGTAGCGCAACCCCAAGAAAAGGATGGTTAATTTTTTTTTTTTTTTTTTGAGATGGAGTCTTGCTCTGTCGCCAGAGCTGGAGTGCAGTGGTGCGATCTTGGCTCACTGCAACCTCTGTCTCCCGGATTCAAACAATTCTCTTGCCTCAGCCTCCCAATTAGCTGGGACTACAGGCGTGCGCCACCATACCCAGATAATTTTTTTGTATTTTAGTAGAGACAGGGTTTTACCATATTGGTCAGGATGGTCTTGATCTCCTGACCTTGTGATCCAACTGCCTTGACCTCCCAAAGTGCTGGGATTACAGGCGTGAGCCACCGCGCCCGGCCTAATTTTTGTATTTTTAATAGAGATGGAGTTTCACCATGTTGGCTAGGATGGTCTTGGTCTCTTGCCCTCATGATCTGCCCACCTTGGCCTCCCAAAGTACTGGGATTACAGGTGTGAGCCACCGAGCCCGGCCCATTGTAACTATTCTTTTTTTTTTTTTTT